TCACTAGATATAAGGTTAATGTGCAAACATCACCTATGTTTTTGTAAATTAAAAACAATTAGAAAGTGAAATTTTAAAATAATATCATATAAAGTGGCATTAAAAATATCAAAAACATTGAATACCTTGGAATAAATTTAAGGAAAGATTTGTAATATATTCACACAAGAAAGAATAAAATCGTTTTTTAATTAAAAAGCTAAATAAATGAAAGTAAATACTATAGCCTGAAAGACTCTCTACATTGATAGTTAAAAACCTCATCAAAAATCTACCAGAGGCTGGGCAGGGTGGCTCACCCCTATATTCCTAGCACTCTATTAAAAAAAAAATCTACAGATACAATAAATGCTTTCCTCATAAGTCACTTTCCCTACAACATCAGGAATAAGGGAAAGCTGTCTGCTTTTACCACTCCTATTCAACATTATATAAATTATCTTAGCTAGTGCGGTAAGGGCAGATAAAGAAATTTAAAGCATACAGAGAAAAAGGTAGAAATAAAACCAACACAGATAACATTATCTATTCATGAATAAAACTTATTGATAACATTATCTATGTAGAAAATCCCAAAGAATCTCTTAAGAAACTACCAGAACTAAGTGAATTTACCAAGGTTGCAGAATTCAAAGTCTATACGTACAATCATATTATTGCATAGAAATGAACAATTTGAAAGAATTATTTACAATAGCATGAAAATATTACATACTTTTACATAAGTCTAACAAAATACATGCAAGATTTGTATGCTAAAAACCATAAAATGCAGATGAAAAAAATCAAAGACCTAAATAAATATAAATACCATGTTCTTGGATTGGGAGTGATGATATTCCTAACATGTCAAGTCTGCCCATACTGATCAAGATGTTTAATAATCACAATCAAAATCCTATTAGGCCCCCACTGCTAAATTTGACTGGCTTAAAAAAAAAAATCCTATTAGGCCTTTTTAAAGACAATGACAAGCAAATATTAAAATCTTTATAAAATTTACATAACATGATTCTTATATACAAGCATATCTCATTTATTGTACTTTGCATTATTGTGCTTAGCAGATATTATTTTTTACAAATTGAAGGTTTCTGGAAACCTTCCATCAAGCAAGTCTGTTGGCACATCATTTTTTTCAACAGCATGTGCTCACTTAGTGTCTCTCTGTCACATTTGGTAATTCTTGCAATATTTCAAACTTTTTCATTATTATTATATCTGTTATAGTGGTCTGTGATTAGTGCTCTTTGATGTTACTATTGTAATTGTTTTGGGGTGGCACGAACCATGCCCATATGAGACAGAAACCTTATTCGGCAAATGTTGTATGTGTTCTGACTGCTCAACTGCCCAGCCATTCCTCCCATCATGTCTCTCTCCCCCTCTCCTCAAGTGTCCCTCCCTATTCCCTGAGACACAACAATATTGAAATTAGGCCAATTAAAAACCCTACAATGGCTTCTAAGCGTTTAAGTTAAAGGAAGAGTTGCCCATCCTCTCACTTTACATCAAACACTAGAAATAATTAAGCTTAATGAGGAAGGCATGTCAAAAGCCAAGACTGGCTAAAGGCTAGGCCTCCTGAGCCAAGCAGCCAAGTCATGAATGTAAAAGAAACATTCTTGAAGGGAATTAAAAGTGAACACACAGAAGAGAAGAAAGCATAACAGTTTTATTGCTGATGAGGAGAAAGTTTCAACAGAGTCGATAGAAGATCAAACCAGCCACAACATTCCCTTAAGCCAACGCCTATTCCAGGGAAAGGACCTAACTCTCTTTAATTCTGTGAAGGCTGAGAGAGGTGAGCAAGGGCAGAAGAAAAGTTGGAAGCTAGCAAAGATTGGTTCATAAGGTTTAAGGAAAGAAGCCCTCTCTATAACGTAAAAGTGCAAAGTGAAGTAGCAAGTGCTGATGTAGAAGTTGCAACAAGTTATCCAGAAGATCTAGCTAAGATAATTGATGAAAGTAGCTACACTAAACAACAGATTTTCAATGTAGATGAAAACAGCCTTTTATTAGAAGAAGCTGCCATCTAGGACTTTCACGGCTAGAGAGAAGTCAATACCTGGCTTCAAAGGACAGGCTGACTGTCTTGTTAGGGGCTAATGCAGTTAGTAACTTTTAGTTGAAGTCAATGCTCATTCACCATTCCAAAAATCCTAGAGCCCTTAAGAAATATGCTAAATCTACTCTCCCTGTGCTCTATAAATGGAACAAGAAAGCCTGGATGACAGTATATCTCTTAACAGCATCGTTTACTTAAATATTTTAAGCCCGGTGTTGAGACCTACTGCTCAGAAAAAAAGATTCCTTTCAAAGTATTACTGCTCACTCACAATGTATGTAGTCACACGAGAGCTTCGATGGAGATGTACCAGGAGATTAATGCTGTTTTCACAACTGCTAAAACAATACCTATTCAGCAGCTTATGGATTAAGGAGTAATTTCAACTTTCGAGTCTTATTATTTAAGAAATACATTTTGCAAGCAGAGTGGTGCAGCGGGAGCGTGCTGGGCCCGTAACCAAGAAATACATTTTGTAACACTATAGCTGCCATAAATAGTGATTCCCCTGATGAATCTGGGCAAAGTAAATTGAAAACCTCTGGAAAGGATTTACCATTATACATGTCATTAAGAACATTCGTGATTCATGGGAGGAGGTCAAAATATCAACATTAACAGGAATTGACAGCAAGAAGCTGATTCCAACTCTCATGGATGACTTTGAAGAGTTCAAGACTTCAGTGGGGTAAATAACTTCAGATGTGCTGGAAATAGCAAGAAAACTAGAAGTGGAGTCTGAAGATAAGACTGAATTCCTGCAATCTCATGATAAAACTTGAAGAGATGAGGAGGTGCTTCTTAAGGATGAGCAAAGAAAGTGGCTTCCTGAGATGGAAGCTACTCACAGTGAAGATGCTGTGAACATTGTTGAAATGACAACAAGGGATTTAGAATATTCCATAAACTTAATTGATAAAGCAGCGGCAGAGTTTAAGAGGATTGACTCCAATTTTGAAAGACATTCTAGTGTCAGTAAAATGCTATCAAACAGCATTGCATGCTACAAAGAAATCTTTCATGAAAGGAAGAGTCATTCAACGCGGCAAACTTCATTGTTGTCTTATTTTAAGAAATTGCCACACCTGCCCAAGCCTTCAGCAACCACCACCCCAATCCGTCAGCACCCATTAACATCAAGGAAAAATTCTCCACCAACAAAAAGATTATGACTCACTGAAGGCTCAGATGATCATTAGCAATTTTTAGCAATAAAGTATTTTTAGTTAAGGTATGTACATTTTTTAGACATAATGCTATTGCATACTTAACAGACTACAGTAAAGTAAAGCATACCTCTTATGTGCACTAAGAGAAACCAAAAACTTTACGTGACTTAGTTTATTACAATATTTGCATTACTGGTCTAGAACTCAACCTGTAATATCTCCAAGGTATGCCAGTACATACATACATGAGACTTATAAAGCTACAATAATCAGGACAGTATAGTACTAGTGTAAGCATAGAAATATATACCAAGGAAACAGAATAGAGAGTCCAGAAATAAATTCACATTTGTATGGCCAATTGATTTTGATCGAAGTTACACTATTAATGTAATTAAATGATAAAGACAGTGCTAAAAGAAAACCAGATTGTGTTTGAAAAAATTAAATGGCCCCCAACTTATACACAAAAATTAACTTGAAACAGATGATAGGTCTCAAAATACAATAGCCAAAACTATACAATATCTAGAATGAAATATAGGAGAAAAATCTTTGCAACCTATTTCTTAAACAGGAAAAGCAATGCATGAAAGTAGGTATAATTGACAAAATATAATTTATCAATATTTAAAACTTTTACTTTTTAACAGACAGAAATAAGAAAATGTAAAACCAAGCAACATATTGTGAGGAAATATTTGTAAAACACACACCTGACAAAGGGTTTGTGTCCAAAATAAAAATAATAATTCTTAGTTATAACTCAATAATAATGATGCACACAGCACATAAAA